AAGGTCCTTAATTTGATCTTCAGCACCACATACAGAGAGCAATGAACAAAAGACTTGGGCAGATATTTTGAAGATGAATATATGCACATAACAAATGAGAACACAAAGTAATCATCAGTAAAGTGTGTATAAAATCACAGTGTATGTCACAACTTATTTATTCAGATGATCAAAAGTGAAAAAAAAAACCACTTGTACTAGAAGCTTCAATGAAGACCATTTTCGGTGTAACATAGATAATAAAATGAGTTAAGAAAAAATTGTACTTAAAATAAGAAGGTGGTCAATATAAGTCAACTTCCAAATATGGTAAGAGGTCTCCCTACATATTCGGTTACTTAGTCCAGATTTTTCAGAGTTTTTACAATAACTTCTCTTTCATTTGTGTTGTATTTCTCTATACACAATTCTTTCTCACTAGCAAAACTCCAAGCAATCAGTGCAATTGATTAATGAAAAAATATAGTGTTATTATTTGTGCTTTCATGGTTGTCTGAATGTTAAGAATCAGTTCAAGTCATTTATTTTTCATAGTCTCTTGGATTTTGAGGAAGAACCAAAAGTTTCATAATGTCAGCTCCAGTGAAGATTGAGGACACACTGTATTTTTTATGAACCTGCTTTTCTGTTCAACTGCCCTTAAAAGCGGTATGCACTATAGTAAATATAACTATGTGTTTGATCACATCTCATAGAGACACTCACTTAAGAAAACTTTCAGAACAGTTTTAGAAAGACCAATGATGACTGCATGAATGTGTCACTAGCAAGAAAGACCATTTTGAGAGGAAATTGTATTTTGACTGTAAATTGTAAGTTTAATGATACACTGTATTTTGTGACAACACTTTGAATGACTTTTTCCCCTTTTTCATTCATGAGATGAATGTATTTTATTTAATAAAAACATTTTACTATGGAGATGATTATATATCAGTCTTCATATATCTAATATAAATTCCATAGTGTGTATATTGAGTTTTACTTTTCTAAATGAATGTTTATTCATAAGTCTTTTTGTTTACAATGAAAAGGAAATTTGAGTATTTTACTACCATGTTTACTGTCCTAGTTGGTTTTCTTTCAATTTGGGGAAAAGAAAAAAGTGCTGGCCTAGCCTCCCATGCTTTTTGTGATCCTAAGTTCTGATTCCCTGTGTTGCCATCTAAATTCTTTCACTTCTTATTCTGCAGGTTAGTCATATTTGTAATTTTTGTTTTCTCTAACATCAAGACTCTTGTAATATAAGTCCTTCAATGATCAGGACGCTACAGGTGGTGTGGGTCAACAGGTATCAAATGTTTACAAAGTAAGACTCCAGAACTCGGTCCCAGAGCTACTGAAAGAAACATGAAAGAAAATCTCTAGGTCATAATTGGGCTTTGTGTTTGAGAAGGATAGATATTGATCACTGTCCCTTGATATATCTTTGTTTTTCTTTAGCTACTCCTTCTGACATTAAACTGGTAGCTCTTCTCATCAAGTTTAATTTTAAAGTGCAAAAGCTATGTATTTATCTAGGCTTGAGAAGAGTTTTTATGAGGAACACAGATATACTTTGAGTCAGTTTCAGTAAGCGGCCTGTATCTTCAGTTTCACAACATGCTTTTATTAGCTCAGACAGAACCATACCAATCAAAGCCTTCGCAACAGTACGTTTTTGATACACTGTGGTTCCTATAATTAAACTTGAATTATCCTTGAGATGGATAATATTGAGTGACAATGCAGCATTAGTTTTTAAATTGGAAATATCTATGGTAACTTGATGTTTATGATTCCAGAAGTCTGTGATGCCTGGGGAAAACCTAGACTTCTTGTTCATGTCCATATTTATAGAGCTCAATAGAATAACTTCAGTTTTTCCTTCAGGGAATGCTCTGGTACTCTTAGGAGAATTTCAGTTGTATATTTCTTCCATCTGTGAAAAAAACAGTGATATAAGTGGTTGACACCTGTATTCAAAGCAAAAAACATTTTATATAAACGGGATTTCTTAAGAGTGAGACATGAAAATAATTGTTGTTGTCCATTTTGAATTGTTGTAGTTTTTCTGTTTTGTAAGGACTCATACTTTTCACAGATCTCCAATGTTTTTTTTAATATATAGGTAAGCTAAAAATAATCTTTAAAATTCTTTTTACAAAAGTTTAAAATTATTTTATTTTTTAATAATTTAAATGGGGTGTACAGATACCAAAAGATCCAGATGAAAAATGTTAAATAGGGCATTGTATTCTTATTATATTTTTGTGGAAAATTTGATAAACAATGTTGCTTAAGAGGACTTTAAGATTTAACAAATTTATATGGTGATCTTTAACTTTAAATGATTTAAACCTAGGTTGATGTATTCCTGGCATACTGATTTTTACAAAAGAAATATTTCTGAAATGTATAAAATGGTCCATTGTGTTTTATGAGCCATAACATTTTAAGATGTCATTTAAATACTGGCAGACCTTTCACCCAATTTTTCATGGTTTTATTATTTTACGCAGATTTAAAATATGACAAAGTGCTCTAACATTGCTCCCTCCAGCATTTATGCATTAATCAGTGCCCCCACACAACTGAATGTGATTATTTGTAACTATATTGTGATTTAGGATTTCACGGAATGATTTCCATTCCTCATAAAAATATGCTTAATGTATAATTTTGGAGCTTTTGTTTATAAAATTCCTGTTTTAGAGTGCAAGCTATTCCTTTTTTTGATTCTTTCTCTTTTTAAATTGGAGGAAACACATTTTGTATTCAGATTAAAACTTGTTTGGGGAAATGCTGATGTAGAAACTGAAAAATCACTAAAAACTCTGATCTGGACAGGGACATTAAAAGCCTGTGATTCAGGCAGAAACCCTTGTGAGATGATGAGCTTGGTTACATCACTATAAAGAAACATAATCTCATGCCTGATTTTTATGCTTATCTACATTCATAACTTCTTTATTCTTTTTCTTTCATGTTTTTGTTTACTCACCCGAAATTCACTTTGAACTTCTGTCCTGTTTGCTTCTCTATTTATTCCTGTCTTCTTTATTTTAAAACTTTTATTAAAATGCTCTGCAGGAACTCTGGGTTACATTTGGTTACACACAATAGGAAAATACCAAACATTTTTACCACAAGGAATATCCTCTTTCATTCTCTTGTTGTTATGCTACTTGTTGCCTGTATACTTTCAAATGTTCTCTTATCTTGATTTTTTTTACGAAACAGAAACTCCTGCTAGTGAAGTCACTAAAAATTTCTTCATTTCTACAATATAATAATTTTACTAATTCCACATCTATTAGAACATTTGTTTTGGTACTGGGTATTATTCTTTACTTGTGTGTTACTGGAGTACACAGTTTCTCTTTACGTCCACAAGACCCTGCTTTTTTTTTTTTTTTTTTTTTTTTTTCTTCTGTTTGAGGGGTCATGCTACCCATGATTCTTTATCTTATATCTTGCCTCACTTTTGTTCTGTCCAATGCTTTGGATAGCAACAATAGTTGAGTTTCTCAAATGGAAATTGGCTCAAAGTAAAAACTTCTAGAGAGATTACAGTTATCAGTTTGAAATGGGTAGACAATAAGAAAACAAGGCACTAATGAGCAGCCAAATTAGGACTCAGTGTTATCATAATACAGATTGCTATTATCGCTATTGACCTTAGATGTCACAACTCACACTACCGATGCTATTGCTGAGGAGATGGGTTGTGTTTGCTGGAATCTTGATATTATTGCCTTTGGAGCCTTTTCATTTTTGTCTCTATACTTTTCTCTACATGTCTCCATTTTGGAAGTCCAGTAATGTGTGTTGCATTGTACAAATCTAGATAAAAGGTCCTCATGCTAAGTGCATAGGACATGGTATAGAAAGTTTTTTCCTTATGGTTCTCAAGTTAATACTAGCCTTTGCCAAGCAAATAAAGGTTCAGTTGCAGCCTTGTAATAAATGACATCTGGCCACATTCTAGTTACCAATCTCTTTAATAACATTTCTTCACCATTTTGCCTGCATCTCTTTTCTTTGTGTACACTTGCTCAGGTATAGATTATCATTATATGCCTCCAGCCACACCACTCCAATGACATCCATGGTATTTCTTCTGTTAGTACCTAATAGATTAATACATTTAGCTAAAGGTTTCCTCTACAGATCTGACAAGTTCACAATTTCATTCCTGCTGATCACTTACCCAGTAACCAAGGGACATGTCTTTGCTTCACTGTCCACCTGTTAATATCCAGAGTGAATCCTAATCCTAGTGATTCTGTATTCTCTTAATTATTGCAAATGCCACACCATATATGGAGAAGGCTTGACTCTTAAGCTCACATCAGAGGAACATTTTAAAAATACAATTCTTAACTCAATCTTGAACTTTTGTCTATTTTTCAAGTAAAACCTCATACTATGTTTTCTACAGTGAACTCACCTAGGCAATGGAGATGAATAACATGGTGTGATAAGTATTGGGCAATAGCAATAGTATCCTGAGTATTATCCCTAATTTCAATGTTGTCTTCCTGTAGCTGTTATGTATACTACTAAACATTTTAACCAAATAAAATATTATTCCATAGTTAAAAAATATTAACATATATACACTACTTCAGAAATAAATTTCAAATTCCTTAACATGATATTCAATTCAGTTTAAAACCATGAAAATTCAAGTAGCTTTACACTCAGCTCAGAATGTGTAAGATATAGAATTTACTACTACAATCAAAAGTTCTCAATAAATTTGGAACATAGTCTGTCATTTTCTCTAAATTTTAATTTTTGGGCACATTGCTTGAACTAAATTAATCAAAATATTTTCTTTCCAATTCCTGCAAGGTGTTTTCTGCTACTGAAGTTACATTTATTCTGAAAAAGTGCATGTTATCATTGTAGATAAGTGATTTTTATCATAATTCTTTTTCTACAATATTCACCCTAGAAAACCTTAGTAACTTAGAGTTTTTTCAAACTACATTTCATTGCAGACAACTTCCAGTGAGGACCTTGAAATGAAAAATGCAACACTGCTGACACAGTTTGTCCTCACAGGGCTCCCGTATCAACTGGAGTGGCGAATCCCCATCTTCTTGGCATTCCTGGCAATATACCTCATTACCCTGGTTGGGAATCTGGGTCTGATTATTCTCATCATGAAGGACCCTCACCTCCACACACCTATGTATTTTTTCCTTGGGAATTTAGCCTTTGTAGATACTTGGTTGTCATCCACTGTGACACCAAAAATGCTAGTTAATTTATTAGATAAATATAAGATGATATATTTCCCTGAATGCTTGATTCAATTTTTCTCTTTTGTAGTCAGTGCAACCACAGAATGTTTTCTCTTGGCAGCCATGGCTTATGATCGCTATGTGGCTATATGCAAACCTTTACTTTACCCAGTTATTATGACCGATAGACTATGCAGACAGCTATTAGTTTTATCTTTTGTAGGTGGCTTTCTTCATGCCTTAATTCATGAAAGTTTTTTATTTAGATTAACTTTCTGTAATTCCAACATCATACATCATTTTTATTGTGATATAATTCCATTGACAAAGATATCCTGTACTAATCCTGCCATTAATTATCTAATGGTTTTCATTTTCTCTGGTTCAATACAAATATTCAGCATTGTGACAATTCTTGTATCTTATACATTTGTTCTCCTTACAGTTTTAAAAAATAAATCAGAAAAGTGTTCAAGCAAAGCCTTTTCCACTTGTGGAGCCCATCTCTTCTCTGTATCATTATACTATGGCCCTCTTCTCTTCATGTATGTGCATCCAACATCTTCACAAGCAGATGATAAAGATATGATCTTCTCTCTATTTTATACCATCCTAAACCCAGTATTAAATCCATTTATCTACAGTCTGAGGAACAGACAAGTGATAGAATCACTGAGAAAGATATTCAAGATTAATGCTCAGATCTCTTATTAATATCAACTTTTAATTAAAATACATTTTGAAGAAAATTTTAATATTTTAGTGGTATTCAAAGATTATTCAGTCAAACTCTACAATGCTGTTGAATTAAATTTTTTGTACTTTATTGCCTTCTTAAAATACTTTCATCATATATGTATAAAAGATTTTAATATATTATTCATGTAACACCAGAAAAATTAAAGCTAAAGAAAAGTGAAATCATTTTACATGCTGTGTTACTCCATTATAAATATACTGAGCACAACACACAATTCCTTTTCAAATGCACTTTAGTATGATAAGTGTACAAGGATTATAATTAGATGCAAATTGGGAATCAGATCACTTTTACTGCATTGTGATGGAAGATTTGTCTTTGAATGAGAAGAAAATTCAGGAAAACTGCTAACCCTCAAAATTTTCTTTCATTCTACTTGTTTGGGAAACGTAGAGTTTTACATCTGGAGAAGTTTAACATACAGAAATATACACAAAAGCTTTAACATGATCTTAAAAATGATATGGGATTTAAAGTAATAAGCTAAGGAAAAATACTAGGAGATTCCCTTTGTTGAGTGTGTTTGAGTAAAGAAAAGATATGTGTTATGTCTCTTTGTTTCTGGTGCCATTCTTAGGTCTCTTCACAGATGTACTTGTTTGTAGGTAACGTGCCTCATAAATCCAGAAAAATAATAGATTAAATAATGAAGCATGGATGAACATATATAAGAAGTGGCAGAATAGAAAAATGTGTTTTTATTACTCCTCTAGAAGATATAAAAGAAGGTCATTACCATTTGAAGTATACAGATATGTCACATGAGGGACTTTAAAAGAATATTACCAAAGTTCAAATAGGCATAAGATGATATGATGCTATAGTGCCCAATGTTTGCCTTGGAAAACAATTCTTAACTGTTAGATTTGTACACTCTTGATATTGTTTTAATTTGTGATGAATTTTGATAAATGTATCTTTGCTATTTACTTCTCTTTCATCCTGCCAACACTGATTTTCCGTACTTTGCTGTCAAATGATTATTCATACACAAGCCACAGAATAAATTTCATCCTTCTTCAATAACTTTTAGTGGACTGTTATTTCTATGAGATTGAGTCAGCAATGTTAATCTTGATTGCAGTGAAATGACTTTTATGTTGTTCTACATCAACATAATTTATTTGTTCATCAGTATGTCCAAATTGCATGATATACATGTGTTTCACTGATGTCAGTGTAATAACAAATATATATATATATATATATATATATATATATATATATATATTTGTTAGTCTTCACTCCACTTTTGCTCATGGTGGCAATTTTCTAGACCCTTGACACTAAAGTCTTGATTTATCTTTGAGTTTTGTTGTTCTATAATATTTGCATTAAAATATGTATTATGAACCACACTTTTTTAGCTGTCTTTTAGCTACTGGACATGCTTCACTATCTAGGTATGTTTTTGCTTCTGTAAGTCTAACACTCTGTGTCCTGTCATCATTTCTCCACAGAGAGCCCATGTTATGTCCCCATTGTTTAATGATTTTTGTTGTTGTGTAGTGTCCCCCTGCACTGTTTCCTGTCAATCACATAGCATTTTGTTTGTATATCTATTGTTATAACACAAAGACAAAATTCATTATAGTGATCTGGGGCATCTTCCTTCTACTGTAATGAAAGTGTATTACCAAACTTTCAACCTTAAGCTATGAATTCTTGGGCAAGGTCTGTAACCTGTCTAATCTTACTTTAGTTTTAGAGTCTGAGAAAAGGATTTTAGGGCTTCTCAGAAGTTTAGCCTTTGCAGCTTTCTCATAACTGCCATATCTACAGATTCCTCTTCTTTGCTTTGTGCTGAATACAAACTCATTATTTTTTGCCTTCCATAAATTGATCAAGATCATTGTCATTGATGTAACTCTCTTTTTACTGCTTTTATTAATTCCTTTGTATGTACCATTTTCTTAATCAGAATTCCAGAGATGAGGTGACAACAAACTTATTTATCAATACAATATTTTATAAGATATTTGATATTTTGCTTTTCCAATAAATAACTTATCTCATAGAAGAGAAATTATGTGATGTACACATTTGTGCCTCTGATTTATTTCAGCTTACATTATGCTCTTGAAATACATGCCTTGCTTATAAATGCCTCAGCATTATCCTTTACCCTTTAACCATTCGTCTGTTGATGGGCATATAGATTGTCTCTAAGATTTAAGTATTATAATTCTGATGCCATAAACATACAGATGTGTGTAACATCCTAATATGATGACTTTAACTCTTGCAAAACGATATTGAGAAGGGGAGCAGCTGAGTCAAATCAAATTTCTATTCATAGTTTATTGAGAAATATCTGTGATGATCTCCACTGTGCTTGTATTAGTGTATGTTCTCACTAAAATGTTTAAGGTTTCTCATTCTATGAAACCTTATCAATATTTGTTTTCTTAATTTAAAAAAATAAGAAAGACTAAACAAACAGAAAATAGTGCATACATTCAGAGAAAAAAAATAAACAGTAAGAAATCACTAGTTGATGTTTGCATATTGTCATTTTACAAATAGTTTTTCAAGATATTAAAATGGACCATGTAATGTGGGAATACAAAGAGTGAGACCGCAAAGAGTTCTGTTCAACCATCCAGCAAAAACTTAGTAACATGGTTGTCAATTATAAACACTTAAACATACATGAAGTTATCCATATCTTCACTTATGTTTAGATTAAACAAACAAAAGCAGGTTAAAGTCATTCTGAACAAAGAATAATAGTATTGCTGGATTTCACATAATGACACTCCGTGATCAGCACTGGGTACTGTAGTGTCTTTTTTAGAAAATTTAATTTAAAGAAAGACTAAACAAAACAGAAAATGGATAGAAATAATACAAAATTTCAAAGAAAAAAAATAAACAGTAAGAAATCACTAGTTGATGATTACAAATTGTCTTTTTACAAATAGTTATTCAAGACACTAAAGTGGAGCATATAAAGTAGGGATTCAGACAGTGAGATTGCAACCAGTTCTGTTCAACTATACAACAAAAACTTAAAAATATGGTTATCCATCCTATACACGTAAACATACATGCAGTTATCCATCTCTTCAATTATGTTGAAATTGAATAAACCCAAGCAGGCTAATATCACTCTGAAACAAGAATAATACTATTGCTAGTTTTCACATTATGAGACTCCAGGATCAGCACTGGGTATTTTGGTATCCCTTTTTCTTCAAAGTATCTGTTCATTTCATCATGTGTCATAAGATCATTTCTCATAAACTGTTTATAGATTATACACATGCATGAGTCTTAACATATTTCTATCCTTTCTATGTTAGAGGGAAAAACCAAACAAAGCAAGACAAAACAAAACATATTCCTGTAAACACATGAAACTAAACATATATGACCATTGTACAAAGAGTTCTACCATGGTTCCTGTGTGGTCTCTTGTTATCTCCAATGGCTATATCATAATACATAGTATAATTGACTATATCAGTACATAACAGTATTAATAAAAACAGAACATTGTATATAGTGTAGAACTTCAGAAACCGGCAGTTATCAAACCAGAATGTGTATTGTAGAGTCTTGTCATCTTCAGTGTAGTTGCTTGTACTCTCAGACTTGATACTATCAACTATATCAGTTTTGAATAAAATCTTCTCTGGTTCATTTCTGTTATGCTCTTTCTTTGTCATCAGTTGTCTGCTTATCTTCTTCATTCTGTTTTCTGCTCCATTCATTGAGGCCTCTCTGCCACTGTTCCTGGAATCCTAATATTTTTCTCTCTCTCTAGAATGCCCTTCTCTGTAGAGTTGGGTTTGTGGTTGCAAATTTTACAAATTCCTCTTTGTCTTGGAAGCATCTTGTTTCTCCATTAATTTCTGGAGACAGTTTTACAGGGTATATCAATCTGGGCTGGAGTTTATTTTCTTTCAGGGTTTGGAATATTTTGCTTCAGGTTCTTCTTGATTTGATGGTTTGTGTCGAGAAGTCTGCCATTATTCTGATGGGCCTTCTTTCATAGGTTAACTGTTGCTTGTCTCTAACAGCATTTAATATTCTGTTCTTATATTGAATTTCTGGGATTTTGATTATTATATGCCTGAGTGTAGCTCTGCTTTGGTTGTAGGTGGCTGGAGTTCTCTATGCCTCATATATTAGAATATCATTCTTTTTCTTATGTTTGGAAAATTTTCCTTAATTATTTCTGAGAATAAACTTTGTATTTCTGTTGTTTGTATCCCAGTTTCTTCATTCACATTCTATATTCTCAAATTATAGATCCTTTTGTCATCTTCTAGCCTTTATTGTTACTGCTTGTTTCCTTGTTATTTTAAAAAAGTTTTCCCTTTAATACTCTGACATTGCAAAATTATCCTCCAGTTTGGATAATCTATCCTTAGTTTCTTTCAAGCTGATTTGCCATCTTTCCATAGAGTTTTTTTTTTTTTTTTAATTTCCTGGTGATCTCTTTGAATCTGCTTCATGTACTCTATATTTTTTTTATATTCTTCACCAAATGGTTCTATCCTGTGTTTGAGTTCCTCCTGTCTTCTACCTGTGTCTGCTTGAGGGGTGCTTATTATCCATTTTATTAATCTTCTTATATCTTGCTTTATTTGGCTAAATATTTCACTTTTGAACTCATCTATGAGGTCCTGAATATATCTCTTTATGTCCACACGTGCTATATATGATATTGCATGTTTGCTGTTCTCATTCTCCTTTGTATTTATTTACCTGTCCTACATCAATGTTCTCAGGTTTGGGGTCTGGGAACTTTTTGTTGTTGTTTCCTCTTCCCATGTTTTGCTTCCTCCACGAGACCCCAGTTTCTTTCTTTGTTGATTACAATTCTTCTGAAGTGCACCGGGTAGGTGACCCTTTCCAAGGCTGTGTGCTAGTGAGTTGCAGACAGGAATAGCATATGCTGGCCACTCCCCTCCAGATCAGTCAGCTGCTGTGACCTGCACTACTG